TAGGAGCTGCTGATGGCATTTCGAGTGCGGCTCGAGCTCCTGCTGGACGTGTGGGACTTCTTGTCTGCTGCGTCGGCTGCTCTCTCTGCGGGCAGGCTTCTGTGCAGAGGCCCAGGCCTGGGCACGAAGGAACACAGGCTTCTGTCCGCCCCGAAGGGCCTGAATGCCGACCGTGCTGCCCCGGCACCTCTAGCGCACCTTCTCCGAGCATCTGGGGCCCTGTGAGGGCAGGGTCCTCCTCCTCCCGGGCCCTCCACGCCCTCTTCACTGCGGAGACATCTTGGGCACAGCTGGGTGCTGCCATTGGCCCCGGGGTGACAAGCCGCAGCTGCGGCACGGAGGCAGGGAGTCTGCCCAGGGTGGACGCGCAGGTGAGGGACGCCTGTGCTTGGGGGTCTGACAGCATCGTCCTGTGCAGGCCGCCTCGCCTGCAGGTCTAGGTGATGAGCCCCAGAACAGAGCGCAGGGCCCGCGGGATCACAGAGTACCTTGTGGCCGATGCAAGGAACCAGCGCCGATCCCAGGTCGCGGCACGCTTGCAGAATGGCCTAGGAGCGGACCCTGCCGTTTGGACCGCTGGGCCACCCCTGCGGGCCAAGGCTGGTCGGGCGCTGCAGTGAGCGGGCTGCAGGCGGCCGAGGCCTGCTGCCGGGGCCGACCCCGCGGGGCCCGGGCCGTGCCTGAGGGGCGCAGCCTGCCCAGGTAGGTGCCCTTCGAGCCCTTGGCTCCGGGCGGAGGCCGTGCATACAGAGCTGGGCTCCCAGCGCTCTCCTTCGGTTGCCAACGTGGCGGCGAAGGCCCGGAGCAGTGTTTGGCCCGTTGCCAGGACACGGCTTCGGAACCCAGGGCGCCTCAGAGCGCGCGCGCGCGCGGGCACGAGGCCCGCGAGGCCCGGGGACGCGCAGGGATGGTGCAGGCGGGCACCTGAGCCCTGGCACCGCGATGGCAATGATCCGGCCAAGGTGTGGCCACCCCGCGACCACCACCCTCAGCTTTTGCCAGATCTCCTGCGCTGATGCTTGAGCTGAGGCACAGGAATCGCCTGGCAGTCAGGGGTCCTTGTCCCTCGGCAGGGCTCCAGGGCCCTCAGGGAGGGTCCCTGGCATGATCCCCGCTCAACTGACTTTTCAATACAAACTGTGAAAGCCAGAAAACGATGCAGTCCCAGAAGATGTATTAGGACCGCGAGCTCTTTCTTGGCAGAAGGAACAGGGAAAACTAGATCTCCTCCATCTTCCTACAGGTGGAAGTACCTTTATGATGGTTTTTTACCATAGAAAGTTTTCATATCTTCCATAACATAATCTAATTTTTCCCTTATGGTAAAAGTGAGAGTCTCTCCACCTAAAGATTTACTGCATATAGCCTTGTATTTTAAAAATGTTCATAATTTTACATCTTCATTTTTATGCAGTGTTTCATACAGACGAAGGGCTTTTACTGTAGAGCAGAGGTTGACAAAATTTAGTTTAGGAAAAGGGCCGAATAGTCAACAATTTAGGTTTCCTAGGCCATATGGCCTCTATCACAAGTCAACTCGCTGTTGTAGAGTGACAGCAGCCATAGACAATAATAAATAAGTCAATATTGCTATGTTTCAATGAAACTTTACTTATATGCACTAAAATTAGAATTTCACAAAATGTTCGTGTATTTTGAGACGCTATATTAACCATATTTTTTATCTCCTCCTCATTAGGATGTGTTGACCTCCTGGGGGGGGTGGTGGTGGTTAATTCCTATTGCGATAAACAACTTGCCTGACAGCACTCCTCTCACAGGTAAACCAGCCCCGCCCCATACCCCCAACCACCTCCTTTATCTAATAATCACAAACCGAGCCAATATCCCCCTGCCCTAAATCAATCCAGGGCCAGGGAACAGACAAAGTCAATCCCTATGTCCCAAAACCCTCCACAATTATTCAAACCAGCCAATTCTAAACTGTTTGACCTGCTCTGCCTTTCCTTGCCCATGGAAATTCCAGAAAACGCTACAGTCTGTAGGGCATTTGCCATGACGCACTTGGTGTTACATGGAATCGTTGCCTCGCTGTATTATATTATATATGTACCCAAAACTAATTTTATACTGTATGTTAACTGTACTGGAATTAAAGAAAATAAAAACACTCTTATCTTTAAAAAACAAACACAAAAACTGTGATCTTTACTCCTGCCTCTTGACACTGGTGCTTCGTGTCCCCGGGACCCTATGTGATACTGTAATTTATTAGAAAGACATGTTTAGTCAACTCAATGACCAAAACATATGTCTCACATTGGTCATTGTCGATGGTTCCTGGCTCACGGCTTCCAAAACCCTTGGAATTTCCTGAGTGAGAAGAGCAACGGGAGCATCTTTTGTCATCCTATTGGTCTGCTGCCCTCAGTTTCTGAAATTGCTTTGGAGTCATAAAAGTGAAACGGGTGTCTTATTATTCATAGTAGACCCTTTCCACCACAACTGGGTTGACATTACTGATGTGACTTGTGGAAAACACCTAAAGACGGTGGCTGGTTGCCAGGGTAACCAACGATGCATACAGGGGTGAAACTTTTAGTCCCACTTCCTGATCTTCAGGGATGGGCTAGGGGCTGGACGTTGCATCAGGAACCAATGGCCAGTCCTTAATAGATAGCAAGCCTATATGATGAAGTCTCCCTAAAAACACAAAATGACAGAGTTTGAAGAGCTTCCAGGTTGGTGAACATGTGGAGATAATGGGGAGAGTGGCTTGTTTAGACAGCATGGAAGCTCGACACCTTTTTCCCACACCTGCCCTACATGTGTCTTCCGTTTAGCTGTTTCTGAATCCTACATTTCACAATAAATCAGTAATCGAATAAGTAAAATATTTGGGTTCTGTGAGTTCAAATTAATTGAACCCAAGGGAAGGGCTTGTGGCTTGTGGCTCTGACCTATAGCCGGTCAGTCAGTAACAACCTAAACTTGTGAACGGAGTTTAAGGAGTTGGCCTGGGAACCTCCAAGCAATAGCTGGTGGGTCATAACCATATAATAACCTGGGCTTGTGGCTAGGGTCTGAAGTGGGGAGGGGTGTCAATCTCGTAGGACTGAAGTGTGACGCTGTGGGGTCTGATGCTATGTCCCAGGACGTGTGTCACAATTGAGTTAAGTTGTGGGACAGCTGGCTGATGTCCAAGAATTGCCTATCATTGGTATGGGGAACCCCCTCAGTGGAATTGGGACCTGGAGACTTCTACCCTGCCTCCCATCTCTAGGGGAACTTCAAGCAACACTAAACTTTTCTTTCAAAGACACTGGCCCGTCATCACGCAGTCACTCTTATACAATAAACACAAACACAGCTCTCTGAATTTTTTCCAGCCATTTCCAAATGTGAAAAACATCCTATGGTCACAGATGGTAGAAAAACAGGCAGTTGTCTGATGATGTGGCCTGTGAGTAGCAGTTTACCAATCCATGGTCTACAGCCCTTCTGCCTTGCTCTCCCACTAACTAGCTGTGTGTTCCCCAGCGAGTGGGTGAATCTGTGTGTCTCCATTCAACATGTGTACAACGAGGTTCATAATAGAATCTACTTCCTACAGTTCCTATGGGAGTGTTAAGTTAGTTAATACATTTAAAGCACCTAGAATCATGCATAGTACATAGTGCATAGCCTCGGTGATTTCTCACACTAACGGCTAGCGTTGGGCCAAACTTCCCAGATTGAGGGCACAGTCCTCCATAAGATTGCCCTCACTTCAGTCACCAGCCACATGCCCAGGAATCCGCAGGTCACCCTCACCTCTGGCTCGTGGGCTAAAGATTCAGGGCTTCCCAGTACCCCTTCTGATACTTTGATAATTCACTCCCATGACTCACAGAACTCACGAAAGCACTGTGCTTGTGATTCCAGTTTTATTATAGCATTAGGATATGAATGAGAAGTAGCCAAAGGGTGAGACTCAGAGTGGACGATCTGAAAGGGCTACAAAAGTGAAACTTGTTTTCCTCTCTGTGTTGTCAGGATGTCATAGCCTCCAAGCACATCAGTGGGTGACGATATATAGAATGTTGCCATCCAGGGAAGTTCACTTGAGTTCGATGTCCAGAGGTTTCATTAAGGTTTCACGACCTAGGCACAAATGACTGAGTCATTGGCCTTCAAGCTGAACTCAGTCTCCAACCCTGCTTTGGTCTCCAGACGTCAAGAAGTCCTCCAAATGATATCTTGCAGTTCAAAACCCCAACTCTCCAGGCACATGGTCTTTGTGGAGTGGCCAGCCTCTACCCGGAGTCATCTTCTTGGTGTCAGCTCCCCAGGGGCTCTTCATGAATCATCTAGGAAGGATGAACGATCAGGGCCTACCGGGGATATTAATTACTAGGGAAATGCCAAGAATCTAGAGGCCACCTTTTAGAAACCAAAGACAAAAATCTTCATCTTGCCGGCCACATTCTTTATTCCAAGCAAACAGCTCTGTAGGTATTTCTTTTCATTGTAACTTTTAAGCCATATGGAAACTGGCACAGCATGGAAGGTGATCATCCAAAAAAAACCTTTTTCCCCAAGTAACCAGTTTCCCCAGAACTCTGGATACCTATCAGGGCACTGATTAATGTTGCACGAGATCAATGTGAAGCAACAGCATTTTCAGAACGTCCACCTGCCCTGTGGAGGAAAACTATCTCCAGGTTTTTTCAGGTTGTTCTTTTTACTCTTACTCGAAGGAGTTGGCTATTGGTCTTTATGTTTGTGTCATCAAAATTAATTGGTGTGTGTTCCTAGAAAAGATGCCGCTGTTAGCTTTGACTTACAGGCACTTTACCGAAAGCTCTGAGCCGTGTTTCCCCTCTTGTCACAAGGTTGTGCTCTCAGGTCCACTCAGGGAGGCAGAAGAGCGGACTGCAAACACTGCAAAGGCTTGGGCTCCGACTCCAATGCCTGAGTTAAGTCCTCCAACCATTAGTGAAACGTGCTCGGGCCCGGGAGAGAGAATTCTCGCCACGTTGTAGGTCCTGCCGCCACCGCTAGGCTCGTGCGCCCGCTGGTCCTCCAACTGGGTCTTTCTGCAGGACCGGTTTGGGGACGGAGGGGCTGGGGTCCGTGCGAGCGAGCGCAGCGCTGCAATCCGACGCGAGGCGCCCCGCCGCCCCCGGGCCGGGCCTCTCGGCCTCTCGGCCTCTCGCTGCGCAGGTGCCGCGCCGCAGCCGCGCATTCATTCCGGGAGATGTATTTCGGGGCGAAGGGACCCGGCGCCCTCTTCTGCGCACGTGTGCCCTCCAAGGCCTGGCGGCGGTGCCCCGGGGCGCGGGCGAGTCTGAGGCCCGAAGCCCTACACGTGGTTGATGTGGGGCGGGCTTGACAGGTGGGGGAAGAACAATAGGGTCCAGCAGGCCTCTGGGGGTAGGCGTGGATCGGGGTGTGTGGAAAGCTGCAGTGAGCCTCCCCGACCTGGGTCCGTGAGCCCGGGGCGGGCGGGGTCCCCGCACTGCGCTCTGGCTGGTGCCCTGGCGCCGGCTGCAGGTGTCGTGCCTGGAGCGCATCCAGCGGTGCCGGGGCGCGCAAGGGGTGGACACCAAGGCGAGGAGCGCCCTCCGGGCTGTGGAAAGAGAACCAAGCTTTCCTGAAGGTCTGAAATGTTCCAGGTGGAGTGCTACCTGCTTTTCCAATGGCATCTCACCTTTCACCCTTACAGCAGCGCTCCAAGTCCGCTTTTTAAGTCATGGGCTGCAACCCCGTGGTGAGTATGGGCGGTGAAATCTGTTTAGGGAGCTGGCACTAGTAGTTTTATTTGCCAGTATTTTTAGGTCGGACGTAATTTACATAGAATGATTTGCACATCATTTACAGAGAACAAAAATGCAAAAATTGCCGATGAACCTGTGTAACAACCCCCCGCCCCGTGAAAATACAGAACAGTTTACTTCCCCAGAGAGTGCTGCCCCTTTTCAGTCAACCCGCACCCCCCGACACCCGCTTAAGGATCAATCGGTTTTACAATTTTATCTCTGTGGGTTAATTCCGCATTTGTAGTACATCATAGAAATGGAATCCTGCAGTATGTACTCTTGTATGGGGGCATTATTTAAAAACAGGTAAAATACTGTAGAATACCATATATATTCCCTTGTGATAAGGATTGTTTTATGAAATTTACTACATATAACTTTTTTAAAAGACTCTTTACTGAGCATCCGTGAACCGCACACTCTTTCTAGTGCTGGGGACACAGTACTGAATCAAGCCGACAAAAAAACGCTGCCTTCTTGAAATTTAGTTGAAGTAGAGGTAGTCAGCTAACAATAAGCATTATCATACTGTATATTAGATAGTAAATTATAAATTAGAAAGTAGATCAGGTAAAGGGAGATGGGGGGATTAAGTTTAAATTAGGTAGACAGCAGAGGCCTCCTTGGTGATTTTGGAGCAGAGACTTGAAGAGATAGAAGTCTAAGGGTGCCTGGGTGGCTCAGTTTGTTCAGCATCTGATTCCTGGTTTCCATTCAGGTCATTATCTCTGGGTCATGAGATGGAGTCCGAAGTCTGGGTCCAAGTTCAACTGGGAGTCTGCTTGAGATTGTCTTCATCTCCCTCTGCCCCTTCCTCTCTCACTTTCTCTGTCCCCCTCCGTCCCTCTCTCTCTCTCTCTCAAAAAAAAAAAAAGAAGAAGAAGAAGAAGAAGAAATCTTAAAAAAAAAAATAGAGGAGTGTGGTAGGTAGAGATAACAGCCATCATGGATGCACACGCATACACACATACACATTAACATATTAATATTAGGCGGTTTTGTAAAATATGTTTCTTACCTTCATCACTGATAACACAGATTCACAGATTTTATTTCTAATTTTACCAAGGCTGCAGAGTTGAAATTGATGACTTGTCCAAAGTCAAATAGCCAGCCGGTAAATTCAAGCTCAAATATTTACCTCCAAATCTCCTACTCTTTATGTCTCCCAAACTAAAATATAGCATTTAACCTCTCCTTCCCCTTAGCTTCAAGCACAGAGCACCTCAACTCCCCTGGGAAAGATTCCAGAAAGACTGTTGCATGAATCTCACCATGTGGACATTATATTTACAGAGTCTATTGGTATCTCTTCTGCAGTTCCTGGGTCCCACTGAGAAGCCGTTGGTGGTACATTCTAACTTCAGACTCCAATCTGTCTGTGTTCCTACACAGAAGGTCCAACTAATTGGCCAGAGAAGGATGTGCACCAACTGCCATTACATTACAATACTTGGCAACATAGTTTTTGGTGACTATAAATTACTTTATCTTTGAGTATGTATCTGTTTTATCTGTTCCTTAATCTGTTCCACCTTTTCAGTATGTTAAAAAGTGCTGCAACAGATATTCTTGCAGCTAAATCTTAGTGCAAATGTCTGGTTTTTCTCACAATGAATTCTGGAGGGCCCAGGGGGACATTCTCCCACAGAGTGACTTCCTCAACCAAACTGTTGAGGCACCCATGTATGGGTTTGTTACACCAGTGATTCTGGGATCTTCAAATCATACCTGGTCTTTCATGGCTCCATCTCTTCCCCTACCTCTGCCTTCAAAGATTTCTGTCTTCACCCAGAGGCTGCAGAAAATGACCAAATCCCAGGTGAGTTAGTTTGTTCCATTATATAGGAACAGTAGTGAAAGATCGTAAAAATGACCATGGAATTTAAAATCATGCAAAACAATCTTAATAATCAAGGGGATTTTTTTACATTGGTTATAGTTGTTCTGTGACCTTCAAAAATTTTGGTTAAAACATTAAATCCTCTTACTATTGGCCATACACATATAGGAAAATAAAAAATAGTAAAACATTTATACATTGTTAATTTGAAACATTGAAAATTAAAATAATTTCTGTGTTGAAAAAACTTATCAAGAGTATTTTGAACAGTGCCTTCTTCCCTTTGTATAACTAGATACCAAGTGAGCATCTTTTCTGAGCCTTGGCAGATTGGACCACATTCCAATATTTGATCCTTTGCATCTAGAACAGTCAGTTCTAGACATGTATGGGGTGTTCAGTAAATGTTTGCTTAATGGCTTAATAAATGAATGGCATAATGAATAATGAACATACAGTGTAAAGTATTTCAGATACAATTTTTGTGTTACTCACAAAATGGAACATAAAACTAGACAAATGGGCATCAAAACATAGAGCTAGAGAAACAGAATGAGACCAAATCAGTATAATATTTTAGGTGACTAAGATGAAATAGGGCTAAAATGCAGGAAACATTATCAAATAACGAATATCCTTTAAACAAGTTGCCATTCTTTTTTTTTCCATTTTGTGCAATATGATGACTGTAGTTGGAATAGGATTGTGTTGTTACAGGGACCAGTATCAGTATCATTCAAGGATGTGGCTGTGGATTTCACCCAGGAGGAGTGGCAGTACCTGGACCTTCACCAGAGGGATCTATTCAGGGATGTGATGCTAGAGAATTATATCAACCTCATCTCAGTGGGTGAGGACCATTTCCCAGTGTTGATTGGCATGTGGCTAGTTAACTGCTTTTCCTTTCTCAGTTACTCTAAATAGTCAGCCCTTTGAAGTACTTTTACAAGTGTAGCCCTGAGTCTTAGTAGATTTAAGATTGATCATATTTGAGAGGTACGGCTACAAGTTTGTTTAAAGACCTTTTTCAGGTATAAATTGGCATCTTCATCAGGCAGTCTCTGATGAAGTTCAGAGTTCAGAGGACCTGATGCCCAGTAGCTAGGTCCAACTCCCTTATCATTTCCCATTGACAGGATATCAAACCACTAAGCCATCTGTGACCCACAAGTTGGAACAAGGTGAAGAACCATGGATGGTGGAAAGAGAAATCCCATGTGGGAGCTATGCAGGTGAGTTAGGTAAAGGGCTCTGTGGATGGAAGTGAATGTAATTAAGATCACAGTTGATCTAATGGTTACCAGAGGGGTGGTGGTGGTAGGATAGGTGAAATAGGTGAAGGGTATTAAAACTATACTGGTCATGATGAGCACTGAATCATATACAAAACAGTCAAATCATTGTAATGTACTCCTAAAACTAATATACTATATGTTAACTATACTGGAATTCAAAAGAAATTTTTTAAAAGGATTACAGTTGATCGATAAGAATTGACATCTTTGAAAAATATGCTTCAAGATTATCTTCTTAAATGCCTTGGACCTTTGAAAATAACTGGAATGGGGTTCCTGGGTGGCTCAATCCTTTAAGTGTCTGCCTTCGGCTCAGGTCATGGTCCTGGGATCAAACCCTGTGTCAGGCTCCTTTCTCCTAGAAAGCCTGCTTTTCCCTCTCCTCCCCATTCCTGCTCTCTGTCACTACCTCTGTCTCTCTCAAATAAATAAATAAATAAATAAATAAATAAATAAATAATATTTAAAGATATATATAACTGGGATGGTCAACATAAGTTCCTTATTTACCTGAATGCCATTTGCATATATCACTTTCCCATATTAATGCTCTTCTTTGCATGGCTATTAAAGAATGTTTTCCCTTAGAGGTATATTCTGCCTACGATTCTTACCAACTTCATTTAAGACTTTGAGAAGATTTTTTCCTCTTTTAAATTTTATCAAAATATACATAACATAGAGTTTATTATTTTTAAGTGTACAGTTCAATGGCATTAGGTACATTCATATTGATTTGCCACCATCATCACCATCCATCCTCAGAACTCCTTCATCATCACCAGCCAAAAAACTCTGTACCCATTAAACTCTATAACTCCCCATTCTACCTCCCCTGCTAGCTACTGGTAACCACTATTCTACTTTTTTGCTATGAATCTGTCTATTCTGGATACCTCACATAAGTGGCATCAAACAGTATTTGTCCTTTCATGTCTAATTTATTTTATTTAGCAGAATATCTTCAAAATTCATCCTTGTTAGGGCACATGGATGGCTCAGTGGTTGAGCATCTGCCTTTGGCTCAGGTCGTGATCCCAGGGTCCTGGGATCGAGTCCCACATCGTACTCCTCACAGGGAGCCTGCTTCTCCCTCTGCCTATGTCTCTGCCTCTCTGTGTGTGTGTCTCAAATAAATAAATAAATAAATAAATAAATAAAATCTTTAAAAAATTCCTCCATGTTGTAGCATGTGATAGAATTTGATTCTTTTTTTAGGGCTGAATAGTACTCTGTTGTATGTATATACCACATCATTTTCTTTATCCATTCTATTGTATGTATATACCACATCATTTTCTTTATCCATTCATTTGCAGTGAACATTGGAGTTGTTCCCATCTTTGGGGTACTGTGAATAATGCTTCTAAGAACATTTGTGTAAAAATATCTGTTTGGGCCCCTGCTTTTGATTTTTTAGGTATATACTCAGAAGTGAATTTTCCGGGTCATGTGGAAACTGTGTTTACATTTTTAAGGAATTTCTGTGATGTTTTCCACAGCTACCACACAATTTTACATTCTCACTGGCAATGCACAAAGGTTCCAGTTTTTCCATTCTCAACAATGCCTGTTATTTTTTGTTTTGCTTTGTTTTGTTTTTCTGGTAGCAATCCTAATAGGTATAAGTGGTATTTTACTTTTTGCATTGAATGACTAGTGATATTGAGCA